CTTGAATACCTCCTACCAGCTGGGTGTGGCCAGACCAAAAGCTGGTCATTCGTGAAGAGTGAAGGACTGTGTGTGGAGTTGGCTTCTAAAAGCAACTGCTAAATTTCCATGCCCCTCATCCTGTGACACTGGGCCTGGCCACCATGGTTGACTGAAAATATCCATTGTTCGTGAAGGAAAGTGTTGGCTCCAAGGGAGCCTGATGTGCATTACACCTGGTATGACAGCGAAGAAGCAAGTCATAGCAGAGAGCTTACAACAAGCTGGGCAGTGAGCAATCGCAAGTGCAGGAACACTCCTGGTCCTGACCTTTAAAAGCCGCTGTATCCTCAGGATTGGGACAATGGAACATGTGCTCGTGAATGTGGATACATGAGCCTGCTGTGCCAAGCACAGTTGAAGGTGTACAAGCCGGAGAGACAACTCTACATCACCAGCCCCCACTATTCATTGTTTTCTATACACAAACGAGACTTTCCCCTTAGCATCCAGTATCTAGAACATTCCAGTGTTCTAGAGAAAACTCTACATGGACCCAGTTTGAGTGATTCCATTCTTAGTTGTACCCCATTTAACCCTGCTCCTGAACTTGGCCATTCAGGCTATTTTCTCAAGTGTTAGAAGCTATAAAAATTAGGAGCAGGGATCCTGAAGAGGCAATAGAGCTGGTGGGCAAGGCTCACAAGAAACACGGTGAAACTTCTAAAGACCATCTCAGAGAGCCATGTACCTGTGGGTATGTTGTTACTAAACCACCCCATGCCTCTATTCCAAAGAAGGCTTAATCAGTTTGGAGTTGTTGCTAAGGAAACACTATACTAAGCCTCCTATTTAAAACAAAATGCAAGCTCTTGATAAGTGCAGTGCACCTGGCTTGTAGGTAGCTGTTTCCCATAGTGGCTGGCCATGCTCTAAGAAATAGTGGTTGTGCTCTAAGAAATGAGCTCTAGCCAAGCCTTTGAAGGTACTCCTACATGCTCCAGCCACACTCAGTTCAGCCCTTCTGTAGTTCAGCTGGTCCTTGGGATGCAGCCTGGAAGTGGGATGCCTAGGTCAGTTTCTTAGTTACTGTTCTACTGCTATGAACAAACACCATGACCAAGGTAACTCCCATGAACCAAAAGCATCTAACTGAGGGCTTGATCAGAGCTTTTAAGGGTTAGTTCATGATCATCATGGCAAGATAGGCATGATGCTGGAGCAGTAGCCAAAAGCTTTACAGCCTGAAGTGAAGGCAACATGGAGAGAGAGAGGGGGGGGGAAGGAGGAGGAGAAGGAGGAGGAGGAAGAGGAGGAGGAGGGAGGAAGAGGAGGAGGAGGAGAGGAGAGAGAAGGAAGAAGAGAAGAGAGAAGAAGAGAGGAGAGGAGAGGAGAGGAGAGGAGAGGAGAGGAGAGGAGAGGAGAGGAGAGGAGAGGAGAGGAGAGGAGAGGAGAGGAGACTGGGCCTGGGCTTTTGAAATCTCAAAGCCCACGCCCAGCAACATATGTCCTCCAACAAGTCCACACCTCCTAATTCTTCTAATCCTTCTCAAACAGTTCCACTCCTTGATGACCAAGCTTGCCAGTATAGAAGTATTTGGGGTCCAGGACACCCTTAAACCACCATAGTCGGCTTACAGATTGTATAGACTGTGTCTTTGAGCATCCCAGCAGCATGAAGGGAACAAGAAACTTCAACCCATTTCCATCAGCCAGAAAACAAAACCAGGAACACCCATGTTACCAAACACCACCATGGATGTTCCTGTCCTCCCCAATGGCTTTCCTTCTGAGTGTGTGTCCAGGCATAAGCAGATGACCTAAAAGCTCTAGAGACCCAAGAAAGAAAGCCAGATAATCCCTGAGCTATAAATCCACTGGAGACTGGCCCTCACCGAGGAGAATGGTACCCTGTCCCCAGAGCAACCCATTTATCAAGGCTTATATTATATTTTATATCTACGACAATGTATTATTTCTTTACAGAGAATTCCAAACTGCACATGCCACAGGCTCCACAAAGCCAAAACTACACCCTGTGCCTGCCAATGACTGGTGAATCTATTTTTTTTCCCCACCTGAGCTATCAGCAGCATCCCAGAGGTATGGGGGCTGCTAACTCCTTTCACCTTCCATGCCCAGCAAAGCCCCAGGGCTAGAGGCACCCATGAGTGCCTACCAAGAAACGGAGGATGGGATGTACAGACAGAAACAAAAGCTATGTTTTATTTCTACTCACTCATCCACTAGGTTCACCCATTAAATCTCCCTTACCAGCTAATCCTTCGCTACCTGACAGCCTTGTGGACCGTGCAAAGATTCTCCCTTGCTTGTGTTTCCCCCTCTTCCAGGGAAGGGGCACCTGCTCTTGACACTGCCCCTCTCTTTTCAAAGGCTATCAACAAAGGAAATTCCCCAAGCTCTTCTCCACCCAGGTCAGTATCTGGGGACCGCCGACATGCCCTCTTATCTCAGCTACTGAGAGCCTCGCCTGCAAGCTGTCTCTGGTCTGGCTGATAACACAGCCTGTTGTTTTTAGAGGAAATAACTTAGTGCTGAGAGCTTCCATGCACGTGACTCTGCCTGAATGTGCAGAGGCAGGAACGGTCCCAGCTCTCTACAGGGCCACAGCTCCTACTAAGGAGGAAACACGCCCGTCATGAGTTGTGGCCAACATTTCTTCTCTCTTCCCTCCAACTCTTTCTTACACGTCAGCAGTGGGGTTCGGCTCCTCACAGACACCTGAAAAAACCTCTGGTGCACCCACAATTGCAATGCTTCATACCCTGGTGCCCTTGCCCACTATCCTGCCTCTTTGATGCATACTTTTCTTTCCCTTAGTCACTGCAGGCCAGGACATGAACTCTCTGGGTCACCATCTAGAATAGCTGTGTTTAAATTAAAGCCTCCTTGCTAATGGAGCTCAGCTAGGTAGATCCAGGACAACAGAAGAAAGTGCTCAAGGTTTCCTCCCACTCTGAGCTCAGGACACGAGGCCATGTGCTGTGTTCTCACATGCATGTGTATTCACACATTGCTAGGTATTGTCAGTGTGTGTGTATATATAGTGTATATATGACTGTGTGTGTCTGATGTGGATCATATACATATCTCATGGGGAGCAAGGGAGAGGTGTCCATCAACCAGGTCCAGCTGGCCACTGCCAGAGCCAGAGACCTGTAGCCATGGGAACAAGGACTTTCCTATTGCTAAAGTTTGGAGGTGAAGTGTCTTCATCTTATAGTCTTACATGCTTGAATGACTTCTGCCCAGCTGGTGACCCCATTTGGGACTGTAGAGCTCTCTGAAGTTAAGACCTGACTGTAAGAAATGAGTGTGTTCGTCTTCCCTCCCTCCCTCCCTCCCTCCCTCCCTCCCTCCCTCTCTCTCTCTCTCTCTCTCTCTCTCTCTCTGTTTATGAGTTATAACTCAGCTCTAGTTTCTGCCATAACCCTCTCTCCAGCTTCTAGGTCTATCTGATCTGCCCAGATGTGAGCAAGCTTCTGCTGCTATAGCTGAAGCCATTCCTATCCTACCCACCGTGTCTTCACAATCATGCTGGGTAGCACCCCCTTAAACCAGAAGCCAAAATAAATCTATTTTCCCTAAGCTAACTATTGTCAGGTATTTGATCACAGCAAGGAGGGATGGATCTGTGATGCCCACCCACTGCTCTGGGCCCTCTTCTTCCTTTTATGGTGCATTCCTGGTCCTTCCAATCTGAGCACAGCAGTCAAGACAGGTGCTCACTGGGAGTAACTGCTTTCCGCAACAGTGCATCGTGGCATGACTTTATTAGTGTTTCAGGATAAGGGTCTAATACAGACCCTGTGGTGGCTGGAGTGGCACCGAGCTATTTACTAGCAAGATAGGCTTGAACTTCACGAATGTTCTAGCATCATCAGTGAGAACTCAAGCTGCAGTTACTATACAGGTCAGTCAGTCAACTTGAGGAGGTTTAGAACTGCCATAGAAATCAAGTTCTGGGCATGTCTCTGGAGAGTGTTTCTAGATTAATGATTAGAGGTGGGAATATGTACCCTAACAGTTCTGGCACCTATGCTTGGACAGGGTCCTGAACTCAATCAGAAGGAGAAAGGGAGCTGGGCACTAGCAATCATCTCTTGCTGCTTCCTGACTGTGAGTGTCATGTGTCCAGCTAATTCATGCTCCCGAGACCATAACGTCTCCATCAAGCTGGGCTCACTATACCCCTAACTGGGAGCCAGGATAAACTTGTCCTTTCTTAAATTGCTTTTCGTCAGTGAGAAGCAGCCAATAGAGTTTGTTTAGTACTACTCTGGATGATGTGCATAGATGTGGATGTGTGTTTATACGTATATAAATATGTGTGTTTGTCTTACACAAACACACACATCTTCCCTAGCACTGTATTCAGAGTGTAGGGTAGCAATGCACATACCCAGGACTTCCTAATGCCTGGCACACCGTAGTCCCTTGAGAGGGGTCAAGACACTGACAGACACTGATTCCCACAACCGTCAGCCATCTTCAGATCTAGCTGCATAAGACGCAAAACAAGCGACTCTCATCAGGCTTGTCCTCAGAGCCAGCACGTGACACTTGACCTACAATGTAGTAGTGTCAGGCCCGGCCGTACTTGTGACAGTCAGTCACGTGTCATGGGAGAACTTTCACAACTCAAGGGTCTCTTCTCAATTTTCAGGAGAACTGCAAAGTTCTCTATCAGAAGGCTGCTTGTACTTCACAGGGAGAAGAATGGTTCCCGTCTGTGGGAGCTGCTCCACATGGCAGGCAGGCAGGCCATGCTACAAAGAGTCTAAGAAAACAGGGCAACACCCCCTTGCTTTGCTACATAACCCACAGAAGAGTCTGGGAAACAGCACATGTCTCATCCTCTGTGCAATCCCTCAACATCATTCCAAAGGATGGAAAGAACAGCACATTTTTTTCTCATCCCTCAATGCAACCCACAGCACAGCCCTGTGGGAGAGTCTGGAAAAGACAGCACATCGCATGGGGAAAAAACAGTCACTTACCTCAGGAAGCTGAGCCACTGTCTGCCCCTGGCTCACAGATACAACTGCCCGGCCCCACAGCGCTGAGTCTTGCTCAGTACAGACCCAACAGGTGCCAGTTGCAACCTTGATAGCATCACTAGCTCGGCAAAGTGAAGCCTGAAAATGGAGAACAGAGAGAAAGTACAAGTTAGTTTGGGCATTAATCCCATCCCAGGCCTTTTTGAGATAATCAAGACAATGACAAGGAATCCGCCTACTATCCGGATCACCCAAACATTCACACTGTACAGGAGGTTCCAACAGCACCCTGTCCCATGTACAGACAGAACAACAACCAACTATAACTCCTGCTTGCAAGGGGCGAGAGTCAGACAACTGCCCAGAAAATGTAGTGTGATGGGACACAGGACGTAAGGGACACTTGGGAGAACGAAGGAGGAAGTGACTGAGTCATTCTGAGAGAAGGATGTGAAAGGAAGGAGGTGAGAGCTGTTAACCATGACTACCCATCAGATATCACTTTTAAAAAAGCAAAAGTCTTGAGGGAAGTGTCCCCAAGGGCGAGGAAAAACAATGCCCCCATGAAAATGGAAGAGGATTATTGGATAGTGAACAACAGTGGAGAGTCACTGGTGTCCTCTGGCTGGTCCCCAGCTCTGCAATGCATTCATGACATCACCAAGGTCATAGATTCCCAAAGATTCCCAAATTATGGATTTGAAGAGCATACAAAATAGCACAGCACAGAAGGGGAGCAGAGAACAGGAAACAGACTGCACTGTCCCATGGGGGAGAACCATTCTTCTCCCTGTGAAGTACAGAGCAGGCTTCTGATAGAGAACTTTGCAGGACCATCAGTGCAGAGGGATCCCAATTTCCCCGTACTATCTGTACTCTAAGTGGTTCTGCTTTCCCTCACAAGTTGAGTCCAGTTCTTCACCTTTTAATCCTGTGACTGACTCTGCAGGAGTAAAACAGCAGATGGAGCACGAAAGCTCAAACCCAGACTACAGTAGGGATCGGGTGTAGCTCAGCAGCAGAGCACATATTTATAGCATTCAGGAGGTCTCAGGTTCCATCTCTAGGATTACATACACCCAAGACAGTATTCATGCAACAAATCTACTTCCTCTTCACTGCAGGGACTCATTCTGGTACCAGAGTCACTGGCTTAAACAGCCCTATGGAGTATTCAAAACATCACGGAGGTCTTGAGTTTCCCTAGCCTAGGTAAGCACCAGATTTGCTTGTGTGACTATCCAATAGGACAAGTCCCAGCGAAACTAAGTAGAACAGAAGTATGCATCCATCCAGAGTCACGAAGATGAGACCAGTGGGCTGGATAAAGCTCTGGGATCTGAACTATGCAATTTGTAAGGCAGGACTGCTAACTAATATACTCACCCTGGTACCTCTCCATAGCAGTCCATGGCAAATTAGGAAAGAAGCTGGCCTATGGATGACAGCAAATATATAGGGTTGGCAAATGGAGGAGGGAGATGCAAGAGCTGTTTCAGGTGAAGAACTGGCAGATAAGAGATCAACAGGAGCCAGCTTTGTCTAAAGGCTTAGGTCTGGCTTTGGAAACCACACATGGTGTTGACTATAAACGGCCTGTTAGGAGCTGCTGATGGGGCAGGATGTTTACAGGGAAGATACACAGAAGGGATGTAAACAGAAGGACTCTGATTCTAAGTATGGAAAAATAAGACCCTTTCCTTCCAGCTCTATCTTAAGTGAGCTGCAAGGGAGCGGGTACCAGTCCCAGCATCCTTTACTCTCTGACTATCACCATCTCCACTGAAGAAGACTCGCCCCTTATCAACAGCTGAAGCAGGCCTTGACTAACAGCTGGAAGGACCTTGCTTACCAACAACAACTGGAAGGGGTCTTTCCTCTCAGTCACAGCTGGTGGAGGGCTTTACTCGTCCCAACAATGGGAGGCTCTCCCTTCTTAGCAGCTAGAGGAGACTTACCTTTTAGCAACTGCTGGAGGAAGTTCTGACTTTCTCAGCAGCAGCTGGAATAGCCCTTGCTGACCTTAAGAACTTAACCTGACCTCCCCAATTCAATGGCTGACATGACCACCCTCCCTGATTTCTACTCATCCCTCTCATTCCAGTATCAAGAGCACTTCCCAGGATCCTGCTGCTGACTCTCAGATGGGAAAGACCTTGCCACTATAGTTCCTGGCATCTGTACTTCCACAAAATACTTTCCTGACTTGGTAATCAGAGCCCCTAATGTACATATGAAGAAAGTTAAAGTTAATCACAATACCTCTTCCTCCTCCCTTTTTGTTGTTGTCTCCTCCTCTTCCTCCTCCTCCTCCTTCTCTTCCTTCTCCTCTTCTTCCTCCTCCACCTCCTCCTCCTCTTCCTTCCCCCTTCCTCCTTCTCCTCTTCCACTTTTTCTTTTCCTCCTCCTCTTCCTCCTCCTCCTCCTCCTCCTCCTCCTCCTCCTCCTCCTCCTCCTC